TAATTTCATGGTGAGAAACACCTGAGATCCTGTGAGTGAGAAGCTTGACAGTGCCATTGTCTGGGACTGGCGATGCTGCCTCGGGGGTGGAGACAAAGGTCCACCTCAGCCCCTGCACTGTTCATTCTAGAAGAGCCATGTGTGGGGAGAAGAAGCTTTAGAATCTGAAGATTCGGTGTTGAGTCCACAAGGTGCAGAATCCCAGCATTTCTGGCTCTCTGGGAGAGCCCCGTTCCATTCTGCATCTGCTTCTATGTGGACGACACTGAGATTTGAATCATTCATCCTCCTTGGAGCTCTGGATTGTATCCCGCTGGCCACTCGGCACCTCATCCCTTCCTCCTTCTGAACCAGGCCTCTCATTCTCCTCCCCACTTGCCTTCAGGTCCGAGACCCATTCCAAAGTGAATGCACCCCATTTAGCATTGCCATTCTGCTGTCTCTGTCCCTGAGGATGAGTCTTGCTCTCCTTCACCCTGGGAAAGCCTCGTCCTCTTTCCTGGACTCATGCATCTAGGCTAAATCACGAGTATCCAATGCTGTCCTGAATGTTGCCTTCATTCAGGCACACCCCTGGAGGAGCCCGACAACACTACATCTCTAAATCTCCATTTTCAGGAAGAGAAAATGGTTGCCCCATGGGATCACCTTGCCTCAGCTTCCCTAAGAAGATACTGAACTGCGATTCTTCTGTGTAGAGCCACAAAGGACTCCCCTCCTCTCTCCCCACCACAGCCATGTGTGGCATTTGACCAAGCAACAAAAATCTCACTTCCAGAAAGGAACTTACTTCATCCACCCTTACTCATGGCACTTCCTGTATCACTCACTGAACTTCCTCTTAATGCTGCTGTCTCAGAATTGAGGCCCTTTTGAATACTTCAAATCAGTACTACAGATTCATTCTTGAGCAAATAATCCACTGTGCTCTTGAAGTCTTCCTCTTCTGCATCCCTGACTCAAAGAGGGTATTGGAGGACACCCTGTGCTAAGACAGCCCCTTGTTGGCAGCATTCTCCAGCACAGAAGGGAGACAATGTCACTCGGGTATTCCGAGGACCCCAGGCCCCTCCGGGGCTTCTACCACTACTGCTCTGCTGCCCATTCCCAGTTCTGAGCTTCCTCCTGCCCTTTAGTGCCCTGAGGGCAGCCATGGACTCGCAAAGCTTGGGGGAAAGGAGTATATTTTACAACTCCCAAAGTAGCAGGTTATGGACAGCTCTGCAGATTCTTAAACAATATTAGGTTGCAAATACAATATTTGGATTTAGCCAAAAAATTAAGATGTTACATTAATACTACATCATCTTAGGGTATCCAAGGCAATCCAGGCTTCAACTTCACAGCTTCATGCAATAGCTTCTCTGGGCCTCCATTCAGGGATACCCTGAGACATGCCTGGTCTCAGTATCTTTCCTTAGTTGCAGAGGAAGGTTCCATAACACCTTTCTTCTATTCTTGACTCTAAAGCTGGAACCACATGGCTGATGCTGCCAAGTTCTGCTGCTGGGGCTGGAACATGGCCCCCTCCTTCAATTACATCTTCACCAGCTTTGTTTCCCATGATTTCCTCCACTGCCTAAGCTTAGCTATCATGGAACTTGCTCTGTAGATCAGGCTGGCCCCAAACTCAGATATCTATCTGCCTGCCCCTGCCTTCCGAGGGCTGGGATTAAAGGCATGCACCACCAACCCAGCTCTAAGTTTTTCCTTAATTTCTCTTCACAAGTTGGAAACTTGGCTGGGTAGGATCTTGCACTGAGATCACCACAGAGACCACAAAGGTCACGACTGTTGCTCTGTCCTTCATACCTAAGACTTGTTGCATCTTCATCAGTTCTTGCTGAGGTGTCCTCCGGTGTTGACTGCCTACTGTATAGAATCCTAGGGCCAGACACTAGTCAATGCTCAGTCAATCCAGGAGTGTGATCCAGTCCAGCTGGATGGTGTTCATCCTCATCATCACCACAGCTTTGGTCCCTGCTGACCCATACCCATCCTGGCTATGAGGACACACTAATGTAACAGCTGAGGAACCATACAGCCTTCCTGGTGGTGTGAAGGATGGCTTTGTTATCCAGCTGTTTGAGTTATAAGAATTCCATGCACAGATGACTGAGCTGCAGACATTTTCTACCATCCTGGGGGTTATCTCTTTAGTCTCATGGTTCTGGGGACCCTAAACTTCACATATATAAGCCAAGCCAGCATTCCACCACTAAGCTACCTCCCCAGCCCTTTTCTCTTTCTCCTTGAATGTTTACTTTATGTGGTTCTCTGTATTTGTGAATGTGTATGTGTGCATCCATGTGCACATCCATATGAAGGTCAGAGGTCAACTTAAACTGCCATTCCTCATCCACCTTGGTTTTAGGATAAGGTCTCTGCATAGACCTGGAATTCATTGATTGCCAAGGTTCACTAGCTAGGAAGTCCCAGGAATCCACCCCAGAGCTGGGATCACATGTTCATGCTACCACACTAACCTGTTTTACTTATGTATCAGGGAATATAACTCAAATCCTCATGCATATGAGACCAGCACTTTATCCACCTGCCCATGTTCCAGGATGAGCCTCTTGTAAGTGTATTTCAATGTAGAAAGCTTGCCCTGCCTCAGGCCCAAAAGAAAGAAGCCGGCAGACCCCGGCCTGAATTATCTGAAACTGTGATTCAAACCTTTGCTTCCCTCAGTGGGTTATCTCAGATGTGCTGTCCCAGAGACATAAGGCTAACTGACACATCCCTCTATCTGCTGTCTACTCTGTCGCCTCAGTACCAACAGAAAATAGATGGAGGCAGCCAGCTGGATGGCAGCTCAGCATCCTCTCAAATAATCTGGAGTTGGCTGTGATTGTTCTAGGGGGAGAAACCTTGGTGAGGATCTGCAGATCATGCAGTTCACAGTGGTTCCTCCTTGGGATGTTGACATCTGGTGGGGTTACCTTAGATACTCTGTCCTGGCCTTAGTTTGGACCACAGGTCTCTGAACTCACTGCTGTATGAATGCTGCAGATTTTGTGCATGTTGTAAGGCACAGGCTGGGAGTGAATGCTCTATAATGCACATCTCCTGCAGTCAGCTTAGCAAGTTACTATAGCAAACCTTCCTGGGGTGGAGGATTATTCTCTGAGAGAGGATGCTGTAGCCATTCTGGGTGAGCATGGATACCATGGGTTCTGATGATGCAGTAGCTGGCATTGTCCCCTGCAAGGAGGTCACTCTTGATTCTTGGTGGCAGCTGCTCCAGTGTCCTCCTGGGCTGTGCCAACCACACAACACCTGGAGGGACAAGTGCTCTTCCCATGCTTGAATATTGGAGTGGGTTTCTGATATATTCTGAATATTGGAGTGGCTGAAGGGGTGGGAAGAAGAGGCAGCCTGGCCTTTAGCAGTCATTATAACCATTGTCAATGCTATTTCTATCTCTCCCATAGCACTCTATGATAGGTATTTTCTGATCATTGATGTGTAGACATGAGACCTTGGCAATTACCTTTGAAAGATAATTTAACCATATGCTCAGGATGAATATGTCAGACTATGATTAGACCTGGTAGTCCATGTGGCAGAGACAGGAAAGAAGGACAATATCCACAGTGATTTTGAGATCCATAACAAACTGCACCACATAGCCACTTTGCACTGTTAAATTTGTATAAAATGGATTCTAGGTGTGTAGAAATCACTGTGGCATTCAGAAAATACCCAGACATTCAACCTCAGGGAACTGCACTGTTTCCAGGCCCATCTTTCCTGCTTCACAGTCTGCTACCTCTCTTGCATACCAAGGTGGTCCCTGTAGGAGGTTCATCACCAGGGCAATATTTGGTGGTCAGGTCCTGGGGGAACCCTCATAGAATAGGGAAAAGTGAAACCCTAACATCTGTGTCATAGACTCCATTAATAGGTAAACTCAGACTTTGCCAATAACTTCTGGACCCAACTCCTGTGGCAGCATGAGATGTACTCAACATCAGGCTCCTTAAATACCTGGTGTGAAGCCAGAAAGGATGCAGAGATACAGCTGAGGCCTGTCAGTGATCGTGGAGTGCATGAGGTGGCAATCTCAGGGCCCTGAGACATGCCTGTTGTTTGGACATGCCTGTTTTCAATGTATGGGTCCTGTTCTTATCACTCCATAGTCCTCATGGAGTGGTACCTTAGTGCACAGTGCACAAAAGAATCCTGTGTGTGACCCTCCAGGCTGTAATTCTCTTGTAACAAGATGTCTACCTGTTCATTGTCTGCTCTTAGGAACCTTGAGACTCAAGTATGTCTCAAACTGAATGAACAACCTTCTGTTCTGTGCAGGCTTCTACAGTGTTTCCAGGCTCACAAATTCTCCATGACAACCAAAACCCCAACCCAAATCCAACATGGCCTTTTCTTGTCCTCCATCTGAGCACTAAAGCAAATCTTTGAGTTGAATTATCTCCTCTCCTCTCCAGGTGTGGCCTGATGTTCCCTGAAACAGCCCTTATTGACAATCCCCACACTTGTCTAGAGCAGTTCTCTGCTTTAGAGCCACCCAAAGTTATGAGGTTCCCAAGGTAGGAACAGTGATTCACCCCTCCCAAGCTCCCTGTAGTTCTGAGTCATTTGAGAATCCTCACAGGGCCAAGCTCTCTGACATCTGGTGACTGTTTCTTTCTTCTCCTAAACACCCATGATTCTTAGAAATGCCTCCATTGTTCTTTGCTCTGCCCAAAGCATTCTTTCTGGTCATCTTACCACCTTCTCTTCCTCCTCTGATCTCAGCACAGAGGTTACACAATCAATAGACTGTTGAGGCAGTTCTCTGTGAAGCACCCAGAGACTTGTTTTGTGATCCACCTGCACACCACCATGGTGATGCCTGGGCACAGAAACCCTGCTTGGTGAAAACTGTTTCTCTAACATCAGGACACTTGAAGAACATCACTGAAGTCATAATGTCTAGCTGTGAGGTCATGGGAAATGACTAAGCTTCTCTGTGCCTCAGTTTCCTCCTCCATAAAATGGACTAATAATAATGTAGTTCAGAGGTCCATCACAGGAGTCACAGACTGTGAGTGACAATCTCTACTATCCTGTGGTCACTGGAGGCCACACCCCTGCCAATAGAAGCTGAGTGAACACTGCCTGGACACTTTTTGAGCAGTTATACATTTATTGATGCTTTGCTCGAAGCACTGCATTTTGGGTAAGGAAGGTGGACGTGTCCATCTGTTGTGTGAGGATGGTCAGATGGAAACCAAGAAAAAGACTCCTCTGCCCTAGGTTGGTGTCCTAGGGGGAAAGAGCTGGTCTGACCAACCGACTCCATGAGCTGCAGGAGTGAGGGACCCAACACTGTGCCAGATGTGGGCAGGGTGAGGAGCCCCTGTAAGGGACAGTGGGTGGCAGAGCCTGGAAGAGGGAAAGTGTGAGACAGGAACTGGGCACAGTGTGATACCAGGTGCCAGGAATAGACTCAGGGCGGCAGGTTTCCTTCTCAATGCTAGGGTGAGGTTCACATAGTTGACCTATAAGTTTGGTTAGTCCCATCAAGCCTGTGGAAGATGAAGGCAGACATAACCAGAGCCTAGATAGGGACAGAGCCTACTGCCAGGGCCCAGGCTTTTGTGTAGAGGCAAATACAGGAGAGGCAGCAGGGAGGAACACAAAGATAGAGTTCAGGTTCAGAAACATGAGCTAGTGTAGCCAGGAGGATTGGGAGCCTGACACTGACTGTCCAAGGGCCCTGTGTATGTTTGAGTCATAGTTAGTCACTGTCACTGTCACTGTCCAATCCAGGCATGGCACAGCTATTTAGAGCATTGAGGCCAAAATGCACATAGAGATCCACATACAGGCTCAATTCCTGGCTCCCAGGAAGAAGGCTCACCACTTAGGAAGTTCTAGCCTCTTTTAGGGTTTGTGATCTTGGCCAAAAAGAGTAGAGTCTGAGTATTTGTGTCAAAGATAATCATCAGGAATGGCCTGTCAAAACTCAAAATAAATGGGTCCAATATTGCAGACCTGAGGGTGAATTTGACTCCTGTGGCGGCAGCTGCTTCTGTGCCTGTCTCAGCCACATCCAGCACAGCCTTGTGGACCACCTGTAGGAGAAAGACATCACTCACTGGAGACCAGGGAGGGCAGGAGAGGAGATTCCTGAAGGAAGCATCCACTGCTGGCCTCGGCTGCTGGTGAAGTGGTTTGTTCCTACAGTGAGCTCCACCCCTGGTGTTTCCAAGTCTCTGCTCAGGGTGTGAGATGAGGCATGGCCTGGGTCTGCTCAGTCTCTGAGAATCTTGTTGTCCTCAAACCCATCCTCAAACTGGAGGATGGTAGTAGGAAACTCCAGTCCTTACTCCATAGGCAGCTTCTCAGCAGACCCACAGGAATATCCAGTGTGCTGGCAGCCACTGCAGGCTTCAGCATGCCTCCTGCTCCAGTCTCCTTGGGACATACAGCAGCAATGCACAGGACATGGCTTCTCATTCCAAGACTGCCATGCCCTGCTGGTACAGATCTGAGCCCAAGCCTCTGAGTGGGCAGTGGACAGAATGCTAGGCATTGCCAGGCTGTGTATCTTTAAATGTATGTGGGATCCTAAGGCATCTTTTCTCCTATTATTAAAATTTCATCCCATCTTCCATTCACAACTTGTTATTTCCTTTACTACTGCTGTTCTGTGTGCTAGTGAAGAAGTACTGGACCAGCTCTGCAGTGAATAAGCTGAGGCTGGAAGTGATTTGTCCTACAGTGGATTGTAGGGAGCATCCATACTACAGCACGGGTCAGTGCCGATGGTGGTCTAAGACTAAGCACAGGCTCCGTCCTACCATAGAAACCTAGGTGAAGTTATGTTCAGGGGGTAGAATAGGGATTGGTGCATGGTATCCAGCAGGAGTGTCTAGGCTGTAATCCAGCTCTCCCAGGATGAGTGAATCTCAGAAATGCAGGCTTTCTCACACATTTACCATTCCCCACACACCACAACTTGGCCTTCACCATCCACATTCAGGCACCAAGGTGAACGACTGAGTGTATCTTGTCTTACCTGAGAGACTATCAGGTCCTTCGCTCCTGTGATCCTAGACAGGTCAGCCTCTTTGGAGAAGACTTCCCTGATGCCCAGCTGTGGAAGGATTTTCTCCAGGCTGTAGTCAGTGGAGATGGAGAACTTGGGCATGTAGAGATCATCGATCATCCTGAGAATAACAAAGGCATATGAGATCACTGGCCTCCATTCCCCATCAATCCACATTGTTTCTCTCACTGGAGAGCAGCCCTCTTTCCATCCATGCCTAGACCATGTGATTTTTTCTTCCTTTTGCAATAATTATTATATTGTTGTAGTAATTTTTATTGCAGTAATTATTATATTGTTGCAGTAATTATCTATCAGTGCCTGAGAGTGAACAGGGCCCAGACAAAGAGGCTTGGTACCAGCTGTTCCTCTGCCAAGAATGCTTTTCTCCCAGATACATAAAATGCAGTTCCTCCCTGTCATGTGGACCTTCAGACTTCATCTAATGATCATTCTAGTTAAATCTGCACATTCCATGTGATTCCACCTTTCCTCAACTCCTCTCACCTTTCCTCCTTCCTTCCTTTCTTCCTTCCTTCCTTCCTTCCTTCCTTCCTTCCTTCCTTCCTTTCTTCTTTCTTTCTTTTCTTGTTTCTTTGATTTGTTTTTCTGCTTTTCCTCAAGACAAGGTTTCTCTGTGTAACTCTGGCTGTCCTGGAGCAAGCTCTGTAAACCTGGCTGGCCTCAAAATCAGAGATATACCTTCTTCTATGCCCTGTTTGCTGGGATTAAAGACATGCACCACCACTACCTGGCTTCTACCCTATCTTTTAATTAATCATATAACACTCCATTGTATTTTCATGCTCTTACTCTCTCTTCCATTGTCATATTATGATCACCCAATGATAAGGAATAATGTCTCGGATAGCCTCTCTGGTTCTAAATCACAGCTTGGCACATAGTAAGTATTCAAGTCTTCATTGCACTAATGGTGAATGAATGAGTGATGAGGGGAAGAGATGGCTACACAGGGCAGAGCTGATTCTCAGAGCTGGTCTCATCTCAACCTCACTCCCCTCTGCATTCCAAAACCCATTCAAGATTCCCTGTAATTAAGGCCTGTTAGACACAGAGGAATCCTCAGCTCCTGCTCTAGCTGATCTCATCTTGTGCACAACAAAATGTCAGTAAAATCAGGTTCCAAACTACCAAGTCAGCAGAGGGAAAGTCACCTCCACTTCACTTGTCCCTGGTGACTCATCAACGGTTACTAGTACACTATGGAGCCTCTGAGGGACAGGAACACAGGGCCTCAGGCCAACAGCAGGATGGGGATCCAGACCAGCTCTGGTTCCTGTGCACACACACCTGGGCCTCAGAGAGTCCTTCCATTTCCTCAGGGTCTCTGGTTGCAAGCTGGCTTCCACCTGCTGCATCCTGCCCTCATCAGGGAGGATGAACAGGGCGCTGGCATTGCCTATGTACTTCAGCTCCACCACAGAGCAGGACAGGTCCTCATCCTGGAAGTAGGGTGTGGTCAGATCTTCAATGTGCATCATGGGCACCTTCACAGACCTGTTATTGCCCAAGTGGAACTCAGACTCAAATGTGTCTTCAGGGTCAAAGGACGTATTCCATTTTCCTAAAGATAAACAGAACCTCAGTTTGTAACATCACTTGAGGGACCCCACCTCTGTCCCATTTCTGACCATCTCCTGTGTTGTGACAGCAATCAGTCCAACTTCAACAACACAGAGTGTCCCTTAGGAGGTAGAAAATGATGGATTGGAAAGAAAAAAAAATCCTTGTAGATAGACAGACTCCTAGAGATGAAAAGAGACTCTAAGCTTGGTTTGGAAAGGGAAAACCCAAAACAAAGCCTGGCTACTTAAGCTAACTAAGAAACAACATGGCATCTTAGGGTGGGGTGTATTAGAGAGAAATGAGAGTGAAAGTGGGGAGCCTGGGGAGAGTTGAGGATCCCTTCTTCCTCAGGAGGAGCCACATCTAGAAGACGATGTGTTGTGGGACAGGCTTCAGGGGAAACAGGACAAGAGAGACTGAAATCTCCCACACTGTGAGGAGTCCATGGTCCCATAGATTGCAGACTAAAATGTGAGTAACAAGTCCTCAGCTCACACATGGTCTATGGCCACCTCCACAAATCATAGATATCCCATTCAGAATTATCCTGGATTCCGAAAGAACTTGGTACTGAAACAATTTCTTGGGCTTGGGATCTAGCAGCCTAAACATGCACCCCTACCTCACAGCCAAGCAGCATTGGAGCTTGAGACCTGAGGCTAAAGAGACATGCCAAGCCATCCTTCAGGCCATCACTCTGCTTCCACCATTCCCAGCCACAGCAGCTCTGCAGCCATCCTGTCCTCCTGTCCTCTGTCCTCTTAGACTCTTTTTCTGTCCACGGCCACCTTGAGTTTTTGTCCATTGTCTCAGATCCTGCCCTCCCTCTGCCCTGCACTATCCTTAATTCAACCCAGATCTGATTACATCATGACTTCTCTCAGATACCAAGTTCTGGGCTGTCTCCTAACTCCTTGGTCTCTGTCAGGCAGGGTGTTGTGGGTGTGGGCTCTGAAAGTTCCCCTATTACCCTTACCAATTTTATCTCCAACTGAGTCTCCCAACTCTCTTGCATACAACTTTCAATAGACTCGATGGCCCTGGAGCGTGTCTTGGGCATTCTAACCTTCAGGATGTTTGGGCGAGCAATTTTACAAAAGCAAAATTCCATGAGGCAGCCATACCCTAAACACAGAACACTGCCTGGCTGACACCTCCCTCTCGTTAGTGTCTGCTCCTGCATCCCTGCTTTTCCGTGTCCAGGCCCAGCTCATTACCAAAATGGCACAAGGGAGAGGTCCTGAACAGGAATTGCCCACAGGGCTCTTCAGTAGGTATGGGACATGCTACTTTCACCCTTAAGATAGAGGAGGCACACTCTTCAGGTCAAGAAATCTCCAGCTTCTCTCAACCCTCCTAGAAACAGAGGCTCTACATCAAGGATAAAACCTTCTACATAAATAAATGGAGATAAAATGGAGATAAATGTCTACATAGATAAAATGTATTAGAAATTCTGGAGAGGGGAACTGAGGGACATGGACTTTGCAGAGAGAAACCACGGCTTCTGCCTACTCAGGAAGAACTGGGTGTGTAAGCTATGCATTCTCATAGTATGTTTAAGTTGCTGCCAAAATTAGCCCTCTTACACTGAGAGCAGGGGTTCTTTTGAAAATGAACCAGGAACTACAACTATATGTGTGTGTGTGTATGTATACATATACATATATGTATATATGTGTGTGTGTGTGTGTGTGTGTGTGTGTGTGTGTGTGTGTGTGTGTGTGTATCCTAAGGAGAAGTAAGGCTTGTGGGTAATAAGAAGTTAGGCACCTATATCTCCAAAGTCATAAACACCTCCTTTCAAGTGGTCAGTGTAAAGACACAAGACACTCAGCCAGCATTCTCTCCCTTCATGCCCTAACCAGTAACCATCCTCACCTTTAAAGTAGATGTAATTCACCAGCACCATTACTGTACACTCATCCAGTTCTGACATTAGTTCTTTGATCTTCTGCTGGGTCTGTTTCCTCACATAGTCATTAATGAGCTTTTTGGCCTCATCAGGCTGCTGGAAGTCAGTCATGGAGACCTCAGACTGGTACAGTGCCCTTGCCTTCTCCTTGAACTCTGCCAGGATCTGTAGGCGCTTTTCAACAAACATCATGCTGCCTATGCTGATATTTATCTGGTCTCCTGGCTGACTGAGCGTGTGGAGGAGGTGCCCAAAGCCCCTGTGGATGTTTGCCTCAGGGGTTTCTGTGAGATTGAACTTGAGACCTTCTAGAATCTCTTCCAGGGTGTTGCTGCTTGCTCCTAGAGATAGGATGGCCAAGGCAGCTGAGATGCTGAATGGGGAGAAGAGAATATTTTTATTTGGATTCTTCAAAACCAGCTCCCTGTAGAGGCTGAAGGCAAAGTCAGTGTTGACGGAGGCCAGTTTCAGACTGTCCATTTTTGTCCCATTGTTTTGGTCTTCATGGACTTCGATGTCCCTTCCCAATGTGCCATATGTAATGCAGAGAACAACAAGGCAGATAACTGCTATCAAGAGTCCCAGAGCTACAAGGAGGGCCATCTTCTTTGTTCTACAGGCTGAAAAGTAAAGATCCTTTGAGTCTGGGAGGGCCAGGTGGTGTCCTGACCACCTCCTTGTCCTCCCACAGGGCTGCACTGTGTCCCTGCTCTGCTGCCCCTTGCTGCCTCTGGGACCTTGCATGGGAGGTGCTCTGACCACTCAGATGGCAGTCCCACAGTATGTGCTCCTGGTATCAGCACTGGAGGAAGCATTGCAGTAGCCCAGTCTCCTCACAGAGAACCAAGACCCAGAGAGGGGAATGGACACGCGAGGTCCACAGAGAAGCCAAAAGAGGAGTGGAGGGATGGGACGAGCCCTGTCTGATCAGATTGTCTCCTCTTATTCTTTCCTGCAGAAGGATTCATTAGAAGGCTGGGGACCCTCTTCCTTTGCACTCACCCCCCTACCACCCTGTAGGCAGAACTTAGGGTCCTTGGAGTAGTTGCTAGCACAGGCCCTAAATTTGCCTCTTCATGACAAGTCTGGGAAATCTCAAGGCCTTTGACAGAATCTGGTGCATGAAGCTGGACCTGGGGAGGAATAATTGAGAGGTAGCACCAGAGACATCTGGTGTCATGCCAGAGCCTTGGCACCCCCAGAACGGGTCATGGCAGGACAAACAGAGGAAGGTTCTTTCAGTTCTGCCAGGGAACCACATGATGGTTTGCAACTCAGGCTTGGGAGGCCTCCTGGTGGGAAGAAAGGTGAGTGATGTCAGTCTCTGACCCCTGGACCAGATTTTGTTTTGGCTCTTGGTATGGCTGTGTGGTAGCAAGCAAATGGGTGGATCTCTCTGGGAAGCTTGGTAAGTGACCCAGGTTACATTATTTGTAAATTTCTGACTTATTATGGGTCAATGGGGCTTAGTTGTAGGGAATGTCTACAGGGCTATCTCTTCCATCCACCCCTGGAGTGGGGACCACAAGCATCCTAAAGGACTACAGTTGAGGGGTTGTGATCTTGGTAAACACAGGCACACACAACTAGCCTTGAACATTTGTTCAGGTGTCCAAAGGTGAAAGTGGATAGTAAATGAGTGGGAGGGAGAGGAGAGAGTGGACATCAGGATCTTGAAGAGATCAAGAAGGACTGATAAAATGGAAGAAAAGGTAGATAGGAAGAGGGAAGGGGATGGAAAGGAGGAGGAGCCAAAGGGAAGATGGAGGGGAGAAAGCACTAGAAGAGCGTAGTGGGAATAGCAGGGAGCAGAGGAGGGCATGCTGGAGCTAAGCTGCTTGTCCCCACGGCTGTCACATGCCTGCAGAGGAAACAGGGACTTCATCTGCCTTTACCCAGTATTTGCTTTCAGACTGATGAAAGCATTTCTTTGGAAAAGCTCTGAGCAATATTTTGTACAAAAGTTGTTTCCAGAGGGAAGGGGCTGCAATGTGTGCAGCAGGAGACCTGGCTCAGGGGCTGAGCTATTGCCTTGTTTCCTTCCCTAGTTGAGGGAGAAGCTCCTCTGCTCAGCCATGGGATCTATGGGGGAAGTGGGTCCCTGATTCCCAGGCAGCTCCTGTCAGCTCTAAGTATGGCAGGGCTGCCACCTCTCTCAGAGGGACTCTGCAAATTGCCTATCTCACCTAAGCTCCTAGAGCAGCACCCAGGCTAGACAAGGTCTCAATACTTCCTTCCTGTGTAGGGTGAGAAGAAGCAGGTTTTATTCACTCGTCATGAGCAAAGTCTATGACTCCTGCATCTTTCATAGACATAAAGATCCAAACTGGAGAGGCAATTTATATGCACCAGGAATGTCCCCTGGTTCCAACCTTGTGCTCCAGGAACAACTCGTGCCATACCAAGACTCCTGGTCATCATCAGCATAACACAGTCCTGGGAAGGCTTCTCTTCTGTCCCTGGAGAGAAATAATCCCAGGCATTACCTGTGGAGCTGATTCCCATTGCCAGTGTCTGTGACAGCTGAGTCCTGGTGTTCAGAGTTGATGCTTGACTGGTGTGTTGTTCCCTGTAAGCATACTGATGCCTATTTATCCCCACCCCAGGGTTTCTTCCCTTTTCTTAGGAAATGCTTGCACATAAAAGCTGTGCTCTGTGCTCAGACTGGAAACGACAGACAGGATTATTTCTTATAGCGTGGATATAGAGGCTCCTGCTAGCAGAACCACCTCCTGATATGAAAATGCCCAACTGGGTTCTGAAAAAGCCTGCTGGATCTCCTGGGTGTATCTTCTGTTTATCTAATGCAGAAGTAAAGTCAGAAGCAAAAAGAGTCTGTGTGGAAACAGGGAGAAGTCAGAAGCAAAAAAAAAAAAAAAAAAAAAGACTGTGCACAACCCCTGTCTACTTCTCACCAAGCAGGACGGCAGCAAACGTTTGTCCTGTACTTTCTAAGTCACTTTGAAAAGAATACAACAACTCTCTGACCACCAATTTCTTTGGGGAAACTCATACATTAATAAACACATGCCGCAAACTGACAGAACCCTGTCTACATCTGTGTAACCATCCTGTCAGGCAGCAATGGGCATATTCTCAATAGAGACTCACTCTCCCCTCTTTGGCTCTCAGACATGATAGAGAAGCTCCCTTGTCTGGAGGGGAAGGAAACTCCTAGAGGAATCTGTGTCTGCAGAGCCTGGCTGGCTGATCTGAAATTCAGTACTGTAGAGAGATGGGAACACTGCAGGTCAGAGGCTAATGACCTTCTCATGGGCTAAGTGCTGCCTCTCTGGAACAGCCTGTTTCCTCCCTCTGTGTCAGAACTAAACCTTGTGACAATAGACTCCATTAACTTAGCAGACAACCAGCTTCAATCCAAAAGCTAAGAATGCAAGAAGATAATATCTTGAGCCTGTAGGGAAGCTCCTCCATGTTGATGCACCTGACTCTCTGAGGTTCCCACTTCTGCATTTTAAACTTGCCTTGAAATGGGACTTTGTTTGGTTAAACTATTAAGTTTTTGTGAAACTGTTTCTATATTGAACATGATATTTGGGTAACTTAAGTCTGTGTTCTCAGCTCATTGTTGCTCAAAATGGTTCTTATAAAGTGTCTGTTATTCCCCATAGGATGAGAGCTGTGGTGTTTGTATCAACAGTGTGGTTAGAGACTCAGCAGACAGGGGTTAGGTCCAAAGCTGCTGTTCCCAAAATGGATGTGCTGGTCCTAACAAGAAGAATTTTGGTTGAGCAAACAGAAGCCCAAAGGCAGGTCTCTGTGTACCAGAGAAGCAGATCACCCATGGTGCATTTCTCTTTACCAGGAGCCATCCAAATATCCCACAAATGTCAACTACATCAGGCAAGGGCACCCAGCTCCCCTTCCATTCAGACGGGCTGAATCCACTCAAAGATACCTACTCTGCTGTCATATAAAATCTGTTTGCTTTTCTGTCATTTTATCCCTTCATGGGCTCCATAAAGACTTCAAACTTCCTTTTGAAACATCACATGTATATCCTCTGCACAGCTCTCAGCATTTTTGTCTTCCAAGCTCCCACAGAACATCCCACTCAGCTCCCAACACTCAATAGCTTTTCTAGCCCAAAGTTCCAAACTCCTTCTACATTCCTTCCCCAAATATAGTAGATCTATCACAGCAATACCCTGCTACATTGGTACCATCTTGTAGTACATAGGGTTTTCTGATGCTGTGATGAAACACTATGACCAAAAAGCAAGTTGGGGAGGAAAAGGTATATTTGGCTTTTACCTCCATATTGCTGTTCATCATTGAAAAAAGTTAGGAGAGAAACTCAAAAGGAAAACAACATGGAAGCAGGAGCTAAATCAGAGGTCCTGGAAGGATGCTGCTTACTGACTTGCTTCCCTGGCTTGCTCAGTTTGCTTTCTTACAGAACCACCAGGCCAGGAATGCCACCAGCCACAGAAGGCCGGGCCCTCCTTCATCAATAACTAATTAAGAAAATTCCTCAGAGCCAGATCTTACTGAAGCATATTCTAAATTAAAGTTCCATTCGTTAATTTAACTCCCTTTTTTCTGTGCATGTGCCCAGGTGACATAAGACCAGCCAGCCTGGTGCCCATGAACAAAGTGGTCGAGGTGATAGAGAGGAGGGTTGTGCATAAGTTTGACAATGTGGACCACCAGTCAGCAAGGCTAACATGGCTACATCTGCCACTGAGTGCCAGATCTGCCAGCAATGTACTCCAACACTGAGTCCCAGACATGGTACCATTTTTCCTGGATAACCAGCCAAGGTCCAGGTGGCAAGGTAACTACATTGGACCACTTCTTTCTTGAATAAGAAAATGGTTTGTCTGTACTGAATATGGTGGTTGGCCCCAATAGACTCATGTGTCTGAATGCTTGGCCCACCGGGAGTGGCACTATTGGGTGTGGCATTGTTGGAGGAAGTGTGTCTCAGTTCACTTCTGCTGTCTGCAGATCAAGATGTAGAAGTCTCAGCTCCTCTGCTGTACTGTGTCTGGCCTGATAAAGAGATGGGATGGTCATTTAAAGATACAGTTACAGTGTCAATTATGTGGCAACAGTCCAGAAGGCTGTGGCAGCATTCTCCAGAAGGTGATACATACTTCAAATCATTGTCCTGTATATGGTATGGTTTCTCCCACAGCCAGGATTCACACAGGTATAGGAGTTAAGAGATACAAGGGAAGGGGTCCACTCACTATCACCCCTAGTGATCTAATTGAAGGTTTGTTACTCTCCCTATTCCCATGACCTAAATTCTGCTGGCCTAGAAGTTTTGTTTCTAGGGGTCGGATTGCTCTTGCCAGGAGACCAACAAACATTCCACTGAAAACTCAGACTTCTTCCTGGCCACTTTGGGCTTCTGATTCCTTTTATCCAACAGTCTATGAGTGGAATGATTCTGTTAAGTGGAGAGGTTGGTTCAGATTACTAAGCAGAATTGGATTGCTTCTCCACAGTGGAGAGAAGAAAGAATATATCAGGAGGTTAGGGGGATCCTTTAGGGAGTCTTTTTGTGTTACCATGTCCTGAGATTAAAGGCATGAGAAACTACAAGAATCTAGTCCAGGTAAAGTGACAAAGGGAATGAAGGTGTGGGTCACTTCTCCAGGAAAGAGCAAAGATCAAGTGAGGTCCTTGCTGAGTATGCAGGAAATTCAGAATGGCCAACAGAGGAACATAGTTATAAATATCAGTGAAGTCTGTGTGACCAGATCCAGAAATAAGAATTATGATTGACAGGAGTGTTTTTATCTTTTTTTTTTTGGTTAAGAATGTATTTGTACATATATTGGTGTTTTCTTTCCTCAATTTCTTTATCATGAAATGTAGCATCAATTCAGAGAATACCAGTGAATATAATATTCAAGTTAGGGCCAGTTCTGATGGACCAAGAGGTGAGTCACTGTTTTCCCAGCCAGTCATCCAGTCTCTAAGCCTTAGGCCCAGGGGCACAACCCATGTCCCCAAACCCCCACCCATTGCTGCCCCAGTT